CATCATTTATTCTAACTCTTTGACACCCTTGTTGTTGTTCTTGTTAGGTACCACTTGTTAGAGTACAACTCACAGCAGCCCTGTGAATAAAATATCTGAACCTTGTTCTGTCCTGCACCATCCTCACACTTCCTGACACACAAGAGCACATTGCAGCAGTCACCCTGTCAATCTACCTAGTTGAGGGTCTTTCTCTCCTTCGCCAACCCTCCACTCTTCCCAGCATCATGTCCTCCTCCAAGGAATAGCCCCTCCTAGGATTTACAACACAAAGGAGAATATTGAGAATTATGGTCTAGCCAAATTGCACATATTTGGTGGGGGGTACACAAAATCCATTCAGGCATGCCTAAGTCATCCTTTGAAGGAGCACCTTTACTTTAAACAACTTAAAGATCTTTTGCAGAAGATACATCCAACGTAATACATAGTCTGATTTCTGGAGAGCTATTTCCATAGAAGTTGATTATAGAGCCAACTAAAATTAAATCAATGATAATTTCAATATTTTCTCCATTTAGCATAATTTTGACTAGTGACCCACTTGTGAGGATTTTTGCTTTTTTGATGTTGAGGTGTAATCCACACTGATGGCTGTAGTTTTTGGTATGCATCAGTAAATACTTTTAAGTCCTCTTTCAGTGAGCAAAGCTAAGACAACTACAAAAAGAAGGTTTTAATGAGTCTCCAACAACCTTGCTCCTGTGTTCTTAATATAGTCCACTTTCTCCGATTATCTGCTCTACATATATAGACTCTATAAGTATGGTGAAAAATACAACCCTGCTATAGAATGCAAATTTTAAAGCATCTAGCATCTCCTTGTTCTGTTAGAACAAGTGCCACTGTTCGAAGGAGTCTCAGTAAAATAGAAATAAACACAATCAAAATGAAAAACAACTAAGGGTGAGCTTTTCATCCCCTATTGAGTGAATGTGCGTCCTTGACTGAAAATCAGTTATTCATGGACAGACAATTTCCGAGTTCTCAGTTCTGTCTCACTGGTCTCTGTGTCTGTCACTGAACTTAGTAAGCTGTTTTGGTTACCGAGCTACATAGAATGATTTGAGATCTGCAAGTGTGAAATATCCTACTCTGTATTTTATAAATGATGTTTGGTTATTGAAGCCTTCCCTATAGTGTTTGTATGAGTCCTAATTGACTCAATGAGAGTGGGCTTGGTTTGGTTTTGTCTTTTTCATATAAGCTGGTTATTAGTTTTTCCATTTCAGTGGGGGCAGGGGGAAATGCTGATGAAACTAAGATAAAGACAGTATGTATCTACAGATCACCTTGGGTGGTGCTAACATTTTCACAACATTAAGTCTTCTAATACTTGAGCTGGGCCAATAGACAACATCACGATGGATGGAAAAAAGATCGAAATGGTCAACAATTTCACTTTATTTGGATCCACAATCAGCACTTGTTTTCAGCAGTCAGAAAATCAGAAGACATACAGATTTGGGAAAGTCTGCTGTCAGAAACTTCTCCAAAGTCCTAAAGAGCAATGATGTCAGTTTAAACACTATGATGCACTCAATTCAAGCCAGGGTCCTCCCAATCACCTGTTATGCATCTGAGATATGGACAATGAATAAGGATGGCAGAAGAAAACTTGATGTCTTTGAACCATGGTGTTGGAGATGAGTACTAAATATCCCATGGACTGTCAAAAGTACAAACAGATATGTCTTGGAAATGCAACCAAAGTTTTCTTAAAGGCAAGGATGGTGAAGCTTCAGCTAACATACTTTGGGCATGTTGTTAGGAGAGGCTAGTTCTTGGAGAGGGCTGTCGTATTTGGAAAGGAGGAGGGTCAGTGAAAGAATGATTCTCAGTATTATAGACTGAGACAGTGACTGTGGCAATGAACTCAAGTTTGTTGGGGAAGATAAACTGATGACACTGGGTAGAGCAGGGTCTGATTTGTTGTTTATAGGGTGGCTGTGAGTCATCCAGTATTTACTGCCCCTAAAAACAATAATATTCAAGCAGGGAATGTACTGCAATTTAAATAGATTTTTTTTTTTTAAAATTTTATGTGCGTGTACCGACAAATCAGATCTGACTGGTACAGGAGGTGATTGCTCCTCCTTCTCCGGCAAAGCATCTGGTGGATTCGAACCATGTACCTCTGGGATTGCAGTGCAGCTTCTTGCCACCAGGCCACCAGAGCTCCCCTTAAATAGATCTTTTTAAAATTTGTCTGCAGTGATGTTCATATGTAAAATCCTATCTCTGTGCCAGCATTTTTTCTATCACAGGATCTGAAGATGTTTTGCAAATGTAAGTTATATTGTAAGTTTAATTTAAGTAATCATGAGTGCTTATGCTATTGTTGTTAGCTACTAGCAAGTTAATCCTTCTTTATAGAGATTCTCACATGTTTGCACATAAGTTAAATTGGGCATCCAGAGACTAAATTCCTGAGGCCAGTAACAAAAGCCAGTCACATTGCTTAATTTTCTGTATAATACAACTGAAGTCTAATTCCAAGACAAATATGTCAATTTTTAATGGACATTAAGTGTATATTTGAGAAATAATAGTTTATAGTCATTTTGTCTGCCTAGGTCACTCTGACCCAGCTGTCCAAAACTACCCAGCTGGTTTTACTGTTTTCTGGCCCGATACTGGAGGAGAACTATTTAGACAACTTGTTGACATTTTAAAGAAAATCTAGCACTCTTAAGTGGAGTGGAGAAGACAGCAAATCACAGAGAAAATGGTTTGAAGTGTCCAATGGATTATGCAAACATTCTGAATTAGGTAGGAATAAGGAGACCAGGAGTCAGCCTGCAGTTCTACGACTCTGCAAAGACAGCTAAGTGAATGACAGAACAGCAAGGTCCCTCCTGACCAAATTCAACTAAGACACAGATACGCTAAAACATAAAACATCAGCAAAGACCAAGAAAATCAACTTGCATAAATTAAAAAAAAAAGAAAGAAAGTATATGGGAATATATTCAATAATATCTCTATTCCATAGGAGAGCTACTGATGCACATACATAACTGAAGAAACAAGCAAACAAACAACGAAGTGAGGAGTCACAAGTTACATTATGCTCTTTCTTGGAAATAAATATTTTTTTAAATGAAACAATGAGTAGTATAAAAAAAAGTGGTGAAACACAGTATTAAATACTTTAAAGGGACTAGAGGGTACAAACAAAAATGATATAAAGAAAGTTGGGGAATGAGAGAAGCAGGAGAAATGAAGGGAAGAAGAGAGGGAGAAAGGGAATAAAAATTAGAGCAAGAGTCAAAAATAAACACTGCTGAAACAAATTAGGACAAGAACTTCAAATAAATCTTCCAGGCTACAACAGTTCCATGATGCATCTTCAAGGATATGAACATATATGGCTAAGCACAATTGATAACAGTGCATCTAAATTCCAAAATCAATCTCCACAATAGTCTACGTGTTTCCTATTGCCAAAGGGGCCCTTTAGAGTAGTGAGAGAAGATCTTCACCCTGAAACCTACAGCATCCCTTTTCAGCAGGAAGTAGCTAAGAGAATACGCCATCCCCTTTTCCTTATGAATCAGGGTGAAGTCTCTCTCAGGGAGGAGTGATAGGAAATGGCAAAGGACACACTGACAAAGGAGATTAATCAGAACTGGCTTTGACAAGCACTGTGGCAATGGGACAATTAAAACAGACTTTCAAGGGGGGGAAAAAAACGAACTGGGGAGGAGGGTAGAGAAAACAGTGCAACAATGAATGAATGGAAATCCAAAATCTCTGTAAATGTTCATTAAAATTAATAAAGTTTAATAAAAATGAAAAAAAGAACTTCAAATAAGGCTGGATTAAAATATGAGTTGAAATTAACTCAACAATAATAGCTCAAGCAAGATCTAAAAGTAAAATTAAATTAAAAACAAAAATTAAAGTACACACACAACAGAGAGACCAAGACAGAGAGAGTAGGAGATAGCTTGACATAATAAAAAAGACCAAGAGCAGAGAAATAAAAATCAAAGAATGATTAGAGTGAGAACAGAGAGAGACTGGAAGTGTATAAAGGTTATGTATAAGATATAAACTTTTGCTAGTCAAGATTGAGTTTTAGAAACTCAAAAGATTTAGTCTACAGGCAAAGAAAGGAACTGGCAATAATAAAATGATCAGATGAACAGACAATAGTAATTTTTTATTATCAGCTCTTGGAAGTAAAATGGGATTAAGGAAAATCACACAAAAGGTAAAGAACTAGGTTTAACGCCAGCCAAATATGGAACAAAGTGAAATTTTTCTTTGAAGAGAGTATACCGTGTCAACAAAATCATACAGGTAATTACATATTTAAAATATATGCTGCTCTGATGGGCAGTCTCCTCCTGTGTGATTTACTGCCTCTAAAAACTCGCTGGAAGGTCAGCTATGCATGGGTCATTTTTGACTCAGAAGCAAACTAACCACAATAGACAATAAAATGGCCTTAATTATGAAGCTTAATATCTAATTTTTTTTACTCTTCATAAGATTATTAATTTGGAAGGAGGAGTGGCATACACTTCCATAACAGCTTGCCTCCGGAAACCCTATGAACCTGGAGAGATGATGAAAGGCACCCAAGCGTCGAGGACTCTCTTTCGTAGGGTTGCTATGAGTCACCTGCAACTCGACAGCACTTAACAACAACAACAAGAAGATTATTCATATTCTTTTCTATAAAAGGGCCACAGGATACCTACTTCAAATAACTGTTATAAAAATCCTTCTCTGTTCATCCTGTTCTCCTAATGACCTTCATATGAATAATCTAAACCCAGCTGAACTATGAAGCTGTTTCAAATTTTACAGTCATCAAATGCCCATGATTTGATTTTTCATCTACAACCACAGTACACAAGATTTTGCTTGCATGTTTAAGTAGTGATATTGTTCGATAATTTCCTCAGCCAGTAGACAGGAAAGCACTCAGTTGATTAATAACCCCCATTGGACACTTAAACATTATCAAACGTCAACAAAATACTCACTTCAACACTCTCAATTTTTCCATCTTGGTGATGTGGTGATCTTGGGTAGATGTCAAGAAGATGTGGTGGTGAATCAAAATGAAATCTTTTAAGATTTCTCTTAATAAGGTCTTTATAACTCAGTTCATCAAAGTTAGTCCTCCAAAGTAAGACCTATACACATTTTTTAAAAAGAAAGAAAAATCAGTCATGCTGTTTGCATGCAAGTATGAGACAGAACTGATTTTATTTAAAACAAATACTGTCAGAAAGGATAATAGATACATATTTCAAATATTCTAAGACTTCTCAATGTTACTTTTTTTCTGTTTCAGGGAGAGGAAAGAGATTTAGTGTTTCAAATTGCTTTTAAGTGAATCTGAACTCCATTATCAAGAAAATATCCTTTTACCTTAAAATTCTCTCCTCTCAAATGTCAAACCCTTCTTTTCAGCTTGATAACTTATCTTTACCAACAGATCTAGTTATAAATGACTGGCAGTTAATTTGTTTTAAATGAAGATTTTCTAGCATAAAGTGTATTAACTGATCCTCAAGAAGAGAAAAAATTTAGACAATATATCTAAGTGCTACACCCATAATGAGCATCAATTATACACATGATTAAATATAAAAATAAGTAGAATAAAGTAATTGGTACTGTTGTTTTTTTATTGTTGTTGATTGCCATCAAGTTGAGGCACAACTCATAGTGACCCTATGAACAAAAGGCCTGAAGCCTTTCTATAACTATCAACATTTATCAAATTTCATAGTTTCCAGAGGCATGTTGTTTAGGAAGTGGATGCCACTCCTGCTTCCAAATGGTACTAGAGTTCCCTAAACTACCAAAATTGGCATTATTTTTGTTATGAAATAGCAGACTTTCTATCATTAACTCAAAATATAAACTCACTGATAATCATCAAACATACAAAAAACCAGCTGGCTATACAAATCTTAGCAGAGGTCAAGGACTGTTTTGTTTTGACCAAACCAAAGTGGGAGGTAAAATAATTTACAAACCTGTGCATCTGCACCACCTGATGCAAACAGCTCCCCAGCTTTTGAAAATGACACAGCAAAGACAGGTCCCTAAGAAATAAAGGGAGAAAAAAGAAAAACTCATTATGCATGTATAAACTGATAAGAATCTCAGTTAAGATTTTCAGACCTTGGATTGCTTATTCATAAATGAGTAGCAGAAACTGAAAGATAAATATGTATGTGACTGTGGAGTTGGAGAAGAGTACTGAATATACCATGGACTGCTAAGAGAACAGGTCCATCTTAAAGAGGGTGAAACCAGGCTCCTCCTTGGAGGCAAGGATTCTGAGCTCCATGTGACATACTTTGGCATGTTGCAAGGAGGGACCAGTCCTTGGAGAGGGACAGCATGCTTGGGAGGGTATAGGGACAGCACCAAGAAAGGAAGATCATGAGACAGATTGACTCAGTGACTGGGGTCCAGGGGGTAGGTGCATCAGAGACAATGACACTGGCTCTAGATAGAGCAGGGTTCAGAGTACATAGGGTCGCTATGAGTCATAAGCAACTTGATGGCATATAACAAAGGAATATAGAATGTTTCTTATTCTAAAGTTTTTTCATTTTCCCTTTATGTAGGTTAATAATAATTAAAGTCTTAAGACCAGGAGGCTGATCAGAGGAAAACTGTGACTGATGAAAAATCCAGTGACCAATGAATTGAAAGAGTAAAACTGAATGCATGGACGAAAACTCGTAGGCTAATGCAATTATCCAGATCCGAGGTGATGAGAACTTGAAACTGAGCAATAACTATGGATTTTGCATGAGACTGTACTTGTCAGAGTGACAAGATAAAAAAGTGGCTCTAGGCCACTTTTTCCGTTAAGAGAAGAGTAAATACAGGTCCTCTCAGATACAACAACATTATATAGTTTGTTGTAAATGTTCTTAATCTCTACAAGAAAACTTTTTCAAATTAATTTTCAAGAAAGTTTACAGAGACTTTGAATTTCCATTCATTCATTTTTGCACTTTTCTCCCTGCCCAACCCTCCCCTCCACAATTTGCTCTTCTCTTTGAAAAGTAAAAGAAAAATTCTTTTATTATTACACAACCCTTCCCCCAAGTCCACTCCACTGTGCAGCCTTCATTCTGGACCCCTGTCATGACAATAATACCTAATCACATACCCCTTTTAAACAGTTGTCTCCCTCATCTGTTTCAATGCAGTAGACATTATTTATCCCCCTTCTCAGTCTTCCCTCAAAACCAATGTCAGTCCCGTCTGACAACAGTGGCAATATGCAATATTTATCCTTTTGTGACTGAAATATTTCACTCAGCATAATATCCTCCAGGGTCACCCATTTTGAATAATATTTCATGAGTTCCTAATTTTTCTTCTTGTAAAAAATGTATTATTAATTTAAATGAAAATGTACAGAGACTTTGGATTTCCATCCATTCATTGTTGTACTTTTCTCCCTTCCCAGCCCTCCCCTCTAGTACACTACCCTCTTGAGAAAGTAAAAGAAAATTCTTTCATTGTTTTACAATCCCTCCACCCAGGTCCACTCCACTATACAGCCTTCACTCTGGACTCCCGTCATGACAAAAATACCTAATAATTTCCCCTCTTAAACAGTTTTCACCCACATTTGTTACAATGCAGTATACATTTTTTAACCCATCTATCTCAGTCTCCACCTAAGCCCGAGGTCAGTCCTATTTTACATCAGTGGCACCATGCAGTATTTGTCCTTTTGTGACTGAGATA